GCGCTGGCCTTCTCGCCGCCGGGCTGATGCTACTCAACTGCCGGCGATGCTCGATTCGTCGCAAGGGCCTAGTCCTCGGAAACCCGCTCCCGTCGTGGCTGCCTGTTCTTCTCCGTGGAGTCCTTCTCGGCTGCTTCAATCGCGCTTGGTGGCTCGAAAAAATGAGAAGGGTTTGGAGAAGACCTCTCCCCGGTAATTGCTGCCGAGGAGATTTGATAAAAATTTGGGAGGATCGGAGGAGTTGGAGGAGATAAGTAGCCGATATAAATGTGTACTGAGATGGGCTGCTTGGGCCATGCTTTGCTTTAGGAGCTCTGCTGGAAAATAATAATTGGGCCTCATCTTGGGTCGGATTGAACTTAGGCGAAATTTGATGTATACCGTACGATTTGAAATAAATTGTAAAAATACCATGGTCAAATCTTTTATTGTATCTTTACTTAATTGTTGAGAATTAATTAATAAACTAGTACAGAGTCCGTGCGATGCATGGAGTGTACAATTTTAAGGTTATTTATCCAGCCTTATAATTATATAAATGAATAAAAAAAATGTACGGGATATATATAGTACGGGACCGGTGCGAGACACGAGATATATTTATTTATGGAATATTATATTATAAGATGCAATATTCAATAAAAGTTTTATAGTACGCAGTATACAGCAAAATAGTATCTGACAAAAAAAAAAATCATATATTATTAAAGACCTCCTTGTACATAGATATTAAATAATTTATTAGTAAAATAGTGTATAAGTTGATCACAATAACAAAACAACATGCTCACGGGATTAGTAAAAATATTTCATGGATTGAAGATTTAATGGGATTAATCATTTAAAGTAATTAACTTAGATAATTCAAAAGTCTTCCAACATTGTTTTGACTCTAATATATTACAGCATGTGTATACTTTAAATATATTAATATTTAAGGAACTTTACACAGCATAATTTTTAAAAAAATTATTTTAGGGAACTTTAAACAACATATTTACGTCACTCATAAAACATATTATATTTCAACATCATTGTTATAGTATTATTTAAGGAACTTGAAACAACATTGTTAAATATTTACGTCTACCCATAAATTTTTTACAAGTCGAAGGTAATTAATCCCATTTCTTTTTTATTTGTTTGTTTGTTCAATTTTTTTGACAAAACTGATATCATGGATAAAAATATTTAATATTAAATAAATTAATTAAATAATATAAAATAATATGCTTTAGATAGATATAGGATGCGGATAATCCTCTCATACCAAACAACGCGATTTCAAAATTGACTCAGATCCAGCAATCTTATCCAATATTTCATATAAATAAATATTAAATAAAATACTTTAAATAGAAATTAGATAAGAAATTTTGAATCTGCCTTTTTTTTTAGTATAAATAGGCTATATGTACATTTTTTGACTTCACCGATTATGGATTTGTTTTGATTAAATCGATGTTATTATGGAATAAGACAAATAAATAAAGTCTTTTTTATTTTAGTAAAGATTTTACGTACTTTTTTTGACTTATCGGATGTTATGGGATTTATTTTTCTTAAGCCGGTTTTTATTTTAGTAAAAATTTTAAGGAATAACTAATATAATTTTATTATCTAACCATCAATAAAATCATTTAATGATGTGATCATTATCTTTAAAATGATAAATAATATTATTTTTTAAAAAAATATTAGTTTTATATAATTAAATAAAGGTTAAAAAATATTACTCGACAAATATTAATTATAATGGATATCAGTAAAATCATTGCATAAATTATTTAAGGAAAAAATCTTTAAGATCATATCTGGATAATAAATGTAAATATGCAAGCATTTAATGCATATAGTAAAAATTTCCAAAAAGGTATGCATTAAATGTGTGTTGAAACTTTTCATGCGACTATGTTTGGTAAATAGGTTGGCTTTTAATATATATATAGATGCTAAGATTTCAATTACCAAAAACTGAAAAATAAAACTCATCCTTGATTTGTGGCTTTCCATAATTCACGGATTTTAATAAAAAAAAAAAAGAAACTAAAAATACTCCTGGTAAGTGAATAAGTCCTAACAATTAGGAGTTCGTTTAGTAATTTAAGAAACATAAGGAGCTTGAATTTCAAATTACCTTTGCTTATAACTAATAAATTAGGTATTTTTTGTTCATGTCGTACTGTTTATTTTTTTTTTAAAATCCCATCGTGTTACTATTGTCTATAAACAAATATGTTATGTATATGTTCTGTATATTAAAATTGTGTTCATATATAAACGTAAACTATTAATCATCATTGAATAAATACTGAAATCCAAAATTCTCATAAAATATATACTCTCAACTTCAGATAATAAATCCTCAAGTTCACGTCCAAAACCATATAAATATACATTATGTATCTTTGCACATATACATAAAAGTTACCTAAAATATACTCTCGAGTTTCTCGTAATCCAAGCCAGCGACAGATCGGACCGCATATACATAAAATATACACTCAAGTATATCGTAATTACGACAGATCGGGACACACATATACATAAAATATACTAAAAATATACATTTGTGTGCAGCAGACAAGCAGAGACAAAGACCGGGCTGTAGGTTCTCACGGATCCAAAACACAGTCAAATCACAAAAGAAAAATAAACATCCCACATAATAAGTTGTTTTCATCTCTAGAACTTATATTAAATGCTTCTACTTTGGTGCTGCCTTCCCCAAGCTTAACTGGAGGGCCAGCGCCGGCGAATCGCTATCTCCGGTCGTTAGAGGTCAAGAGCGCCTCCTCGGTTTAGTGGTCGCCAGTCGGGGCTTAGGGTCGCCTTACTCCCGACGGGTATGTCAATCCATCGATCCGCCGACCCCCGATCATCCAAGTCGTGGGTTGCCCGTATTCGACCGATAAAAAAAAGATAAAATTTCGACAGTAGGAAGAAAAAAAATTGTAAGCGTAAAGTTGTAGAAGATGAAGAAGAAGAGAGGGAGAGAGAAGAAAAAGAAGAAGAAGAAGAAGAGAGAGAGAGAGAGAGAGAGAGAGAAAGTATCGTGATTAGTTTTGGGAAGTTGATAAGGTTTCCATTAATTATTCTAAAAATTGATTACATATGTAAATTAGTGATTTATTGGCATCTGGTAGTTTTGCAAATAAAAGGAGCTCAACTCGTTGAATTGCTATTATTTATAACTTGATTTCATTTATGTAATAAAAAATTATATATACCGTACATAGTGCAAATTTATCTTGCACATAGGTAAAGGCTTTATATAGAGTGATTTGGGTAATAGTATTCTCACTTTAGGCACAAAATTAAAGTAAACACTAAGCATATAATTTCACTTAAGAACACTAAGCAAAATAAAGAGGAATTTTCATATCCCCTACATGATGTATAAATTTTTATAATTCTACCATACAAATATAATTAATTATACATTTACTCAAAAGACCACATTTAATTACATTAATGCTTAAAAAAGGAGTTACCATATCCATTACACCTCAATCCCTTTCCGTTGTAAAATGATCATATTTAACTACATTAATTCCTAAAAGGCAGTTATTATATCCATTTCAACCTCAAAAGAAAAAAAAAAATGGGTTCATTTTTTTTTTTTTTATTTTATATTTTTTGTTTTATTTGTGATAATTCATTTTTAATGGTACATATACAATTTTTTTAATGGTATATATATAGTTTATTTTAATTATTTTTTAATGATATATATTGTTTTTTTTAATATTGCTCTATTGTAAAAATACCGAAAATATACTGAAAATATACTAACTATAAACCCTGAATAACCATACAAATAAAACGCTCTACCCTTAGTTGTCGTGTATATTCTATTACAAATACATATATATATATATATATATGTTTTTCTAATTCACGCAGGTGTCCATGTTGGGTATATGTTGCGTTTATGTATATATATATACATAAAATATACCATCAAAAAATGTTGGTATATGTGTTGTATATATTTCAATGATTATAATCGGTATATATACTTACAATACAATCCGTTATAAAATGGTATATATAAAATATAATGTCGGTATATATACTTACAATACAAACCGTAATGATGGTATATGTATTGTATATGTTTTTCATGATTTTGCAAAATATAAATCATACATATACCGAATATATACTGAATATGAGCCATACATATAACAGGGGGAACGATACAAACACGATACAATCTGAGGGGGATAAAAATATACCGAAAATATACTATATATATATAAACCATAAAAACTGCAAAGTTCCAAGTCCGGCAAGCCGATCATGGCGTGGATCAACTACGATTCCGACACGAATCTCATCAACGTTACGATCTCACCGCTTTCTTTGAGGGTATCTTTCCCTCGACACCGTCTGCCCAGGTTATGGACTTGATAAGTTAGCCTTGAAACTTCAGAAGAAAAAGCCCTAACCCCTCTCCTCTCCTACATAATAGATATGTCTCCGATTCTACACAACCTATGTTTGTCATATTTTCCGCCTCCAAAGGTCTGCTCACAATCTCCCATTTCGTGCTCGGGAAATCCCCGATGACGGAACTAAAAGCGCCATTGAATGGATAATTGTTGGGAAAAAGGAAGAATTTGAGGAGATACTATGCTAAACCCTTTGATCTATTCGAACGGGCATGGAGTGAATTTTCTGCGATGCGAATATTCGGGAGAGAGACTTGTTTGGTTGCACGAGAAATTTGAAAAATCATTGTCGATGGATGATGGAGGAGGAGAATTGGATAAGGATAATAATTATGAATATAGGAAACTGAGGAATTCTATTTAAATCTCAGTTAATGATCTAATACATTTAATTTGCCTAAAAGATTCGGTTTGAATTGTTTACATATTGTAACTTTCTCTTTGTCAGCTATAGGTACGAGAACAATCCCAGATCTGGTATTTTTGCAATTTTTTTGGGGTGAATTGGTAGGATTATAAATAAAACTAATATGATTGTAAAAATATTATATAAGTATAATATGATGGTATGGGGTGCAAATTCCTCAAAAATAAAAAAAAAAAAACACTTAGCAAGAAGGCATAAAAAATAGACTTAGGCAAAACAAAACAATTAAGCATTTAGGTCAATATTTAAATTGAACAAATAATACACTTAGGAAATGCAAAACAATTTAAACACTTAGGAATAATTTAATAAAGAAAAAGCACAAAATAAGAATTAAGAAGACATGGGTATTTTTTTTAATCTCGATTTTTTATTGATAAAATTTTAAGCAAATTAAATAGATAAGGACATCTATTTAATTTTATTTTTGGACTATGTTAAGTCGAGCTAAGAAATAAAATGCAATGATATACTTTTACTAAATAAACGGGGCGCTACAAATAAGTGTCTGGCACTCGACGAGATTGCGAACTTTTAGGCGGGATTTTGCGCTGCCGATTGATTTAGAAAATATTGGGTTCATAACTATCCGAAAAAGTTTGGTGTCGTTCACCCATTTAAGCCTCATGACAATAGTGAGTATTTGGAGCTTGCCACGTGGAGTCCTGATTGGGGGGTGACTAAATTGGAAAAGGTGGTTTTAAGCATGAAGGAAAGGATGAGTTTCAACGAACATGCTCTTCTCGGATGGTTTTCATTGGCTTTCCCGTTAAATTACAAGAAAATGTATAGATACAGTGGGAAAATCGAGAATTTTCAGAAAAGAAAGTATTTATCCCCATATGCCAATGTGAGTGGCTTGCAAGTCGGGTCCCTCTAGTTTGATAAACGGGTTGTGGTCGTGATGCACGAGCTTTACTCTGGAGAAAAGATTAGTGACTGATTATTTGACGCATTTTAGACGGGAGTTTACCATGCCACATAAGCTGATGAGGCTTCTGCTTAAGCACCTGGGGATTTTCTACGTTTCTGAAAGGAAAAAGTAATCTAGCGTGTTCTTGAACGAGGCCTATGATGGTTCGGAGTTGATCAAGAAGGATCCATCCGTCGTTTGAAGGGACAAGGTTCTGAGATTTGTCGGTCACAGAGGAAAGAATGAGAAGACAATTAGGTCCTTTGACGATTTTGTAGACGAGGAGAATAATGAGGCTTTTGCTCAGAAGTGATTGTGAAGAAGATGACCACTTGTAGATCGAACACTTGGAGACTGACAGGTTGAGCTGTTTAGATAATGATGAATTCTGAAATAGAAATTGAAGAAGTTTGTAGGGCTTACAATGACTGAGTAACCACAAGATCATTTTTTTCTCCTCTGTTATGTTCCCTAATTAGTTCACAGTACGTTTAAAAGTGTATACGTTGACATAAAAAAATTAAATTTTATATTCAAACTACTATTTATTTTTTAGTTCATTAAACAAGATTTTTATAAAAATTAGTTAATTATTTTTTATGGCACAATCAAATGCCTTAAAATTTCATATAGAATCCTCAACCATGTTGCTAATCATAAGACGCACGTCTTTGATCCCCGTCGAAAAATTATCAACCCGACGAGATTTAATTGATTGATTTGGCGGCAGAAGCCAGTTGCTTGTCGACCCGTATACTCAATTGTGGCGTCACGCCCGTCGATGTCGTCCTTGACTTCTGATACAAACTGATGTATGGAACGTACGAGTGAGACGATATCGCAATCTCAAGAACATCTTACTATATCAAGTCATATTTTCATTCATAAAACAACCATTGAATAACAAAGAAGAATGATTTTTAAATAGAATGCTCAAAACCCTAAAAGTTATGTTGTCTCTCAAGCCACTACATTTTAAATACTAAAAGTCTAAAATAACAATAATAGTAATAATAACAAAATATATGAATCAAAAATATTGTTAAACTTGGTTAGATACGACTAGACCTATCAAAATGGACTTAGGTCACTATCAAAAATACTGATAGGTTTTTTAAGAGCCATTTTTTTTTTTCGGGCCAACCCACCTAACTTGTAGCTTAAGGTTGGCTACACTCAAATCAAAGTTTTTTGAGATAACTACTCCTTAGAGCACCCTAAATTCGTTTAAGGCCATAAATATAATATCAGGTTTTTAATTCCATAAATATAAAAATTGTTTTTTATTTTTCCTTCTCTCGACATTCTCGTCCCCATTTATCTTCTTCTTTCCTTGTTTCTTCATTATTTATTCCCTTCTCCTATTTTTTCCTTCTAATTCTACACTCCCTTCACCTTCCAAACACAAAACTTTTTTTAAATTCTCTATCGTACTTCCCCTTTTCTAAAAAATCGAATCGTACCGCACCGAATTGCTCGATTTCGGTTCGGTTTTTAGTTTCGATTTAGTTTTACTCATCCCTAACTATTATAATAATTGATACAATAATGCTCCCCTACCCACGGTGGACACATGTTAATATGCCTACCACTTGTGTCGCATTCAAATATTGTGATGTTAATATGTTTAAAAAAATACACCACCAATGTGTGCGGCCACATAAGCGGTGGACATATTAATATGTGTCTATCGTGTGTAGGTGAGCATTACTCATAATTGATAATCGGAGAGATGAACATCCACCGAAAGCACCCGTGAACTTATTTTCACTAAAAAATCGAGAGCCGACATGTGAAAGATATGTCCTACGATTTTCCACTCCAAAATTTGCAATTTGATCATTAGTAATAACCAGCTATTCAAGAAAGTAACACACCACCGTTCTATGTACTATACATATATATTATATCGCGACTGGTTCAAATAAAAACTGATCTTGGTGCGAAAACGGTGAGAACTATATTTTATGCTATTTTTAATTGTGTTTGTTGCTATTTTAAATATTACATAATGCTATCATTTCTCACAAATGTTCAAATAAATTGTGTTGCTATTTTTAATAAAATTCATCCCGGTTAAAAATAGCACTAAACACAATCAATTATAGCACTTCATTCAATTGAAAATAGCGGTTATCACGATTCTTACGCTAGAATTTTGGTTCTTATTTGAACCATATCCTATATCTATATGGAGTATATAATTGCTAGCTAATCATATACTATATAGCTAGTCATTTAATAAAACCTAATAAATAAAACTTCTCTAATTTTACCTAGGTCACACTATAAATGAAACCTATTTAATATACGTAATGGCACGCACTTTTCAATTGTATTCAAGTTTAAGTTTAAATTATCACTTGAATTTTGCGTGTATAATGACATTACATATATTATAGAATGCTCACGTCATGGATTTAAATAACAAAGAAAATGTGTACAGTTCTCAATTTATGCCTATAAAATCCTGGTCGTGTGTGTTTTATTAATTCATATACTTTACAAATTTTACCTCATAAATTTTACTTATGTCAACTTTCCTAACACAAGAACCGTTACAATCCGTTATTATTTATTATTATCATTATTATTATTATTATTATTATTATTATTATTATTATTATTATTATTATTATTAGTGTTGTTGTTGTTGTTGTCGTTGTCGTTGTTGTTATTATCATCATCTATTAATATATAATAAGGATTAACTTAATTCAATTTTAGAAACTATTTCCCGCCAAATTCATTAATTATAGCTTTAAAATAGTAAATTAACATAATTTCCTAAAATTGCTCTTAATTATTTCCGATTAACATTAATTTTTTTATGGAATAAATTTTTTTATGGAATAAATCATTTACGCAATTATTTCCGATTTTTATTTATGGAACAAATCATTTTGTGGTTCCATTAACAAAACAACGAGCATTAATTGCACATAATTTCCTAAAATTGCTCTTATTTATTTCAAATTAACATTAATTGTTTATGGAATAAATCATTTTTTCACGCCAAGATTTTCGATTTTTTGTGGCTCTATTAACAAAACAGCAAGCATTAATTGCAGAAACTATGGAATAAATCTCCTCTTTTTAATTCTTCATATAAATCTCCTCTTTCAAGGCTCCATATAAATCATTTATATGATAAATCTCAACAATATCTTTCCATTTAAATAATTTTCATCAACCACTCTTTTCGGTACCAACGTGCTAAACAACAATTTGTATAAAAGGATATTCACTACCACGATTATCTCTTCACTTCATTCACAGCGTTCAGAAAAAAAAAAAAATTATATAGATAAATTTTAGAATACATCGATAATATAATGTCACCGGTCTGGGATACACTCGATTCCGTGAGTAGGACAAACAAATCTTATTTGCGATTGAAAGCAGTCCGAATAATTGAAACGCATCACGAACGGGAGAGTTGGAACGCATTCCATATACTGTTTCATGATGAACAGGTAAACATTTTCATTAGTAATATCAAAATTATTTCTAATATATTTATTGTTTTATTAACTTTATTATGTTTTATTTTCATTCCATGTCGTTGAATTATGAATTTTAGTATTATTATATTTGTTGTCGTGATATTACGTCTCTCATTCGTTTGGATTAAGTAATATTTACACGCTTGAATTATTGAGTTCCAATTGTTGTTTAAAATAAAATATCGAATTCTTTTTTTTTTCTTTTATGCGCTTAAAA